ACTCCAAGCTCCCTCTGAGAAGGGAAACCCCGACTGACCTTCTGGCACGTCACTGTCTCAAAAGGCGCTCCTTAGAGGAAGATGCTGACAGTGGTCAGGCCAGAAAGAAGAGTGAAGACCCTCCCCGCACAGTGTAGGGCACCAGGCCGCGGGATCCTCACTGTGTCTTTACGAGGTAACCATGCTCCTTTTTCTTTCTTTCTTTTTTTTGAGACAGATTCTCACTCCATCACCTGGGTAGAGTGCCATGGCATCATAAATCACAGCAACCTCAGACTCTTGTGCTCAGGAGATCTCTTGCTTCATCCTCCCTAATAGCTGGGACTACAGGTGCCTGCCAGAATCCCTGCTAATTTTTTTAGTAGGAACAGGGTCTCACTCTTGCTCAGGCTGGTCTTGAACTCCTGAGCTTAAGCAGTCTTCCCGCCTCAGCCTCGTGCTAGTATTACAGGCATGAACCACTGCCGGCCATTGTCCTTATTTTGGACAAAACGAAACCAAAGGGAAGAACCTGCCCAGGGTCTGTGGCGACTAAGCGACAGTGCACAGTTCAGGCATAGGCTGTTCTTTTGTAGCAGAGACAACAGGGGGTGACTTCCACTCCAAAGTACCAGGAATTGGTGGTTAATCACATATGTCCGCGGGTTTTCAGGTATAGGCCCACAGTTTTGCCTGACACGATTATCTATTTGATCATGAAATCAGAACTTTCTAAAAATATTTATACAAGTAAGGGAAAGAAAAAAAAACAATTTGAGAATTATGAGATGAGGTTCTAACCCCATTCATCCCTTTTGTTAGTTTCATCTTTGTACATTTCTATGTACATGTTTGGTCTGGAGTCTGGATTCTAGGTCTGCACTCAGCACTTGACCTTGGGCAAGTTTCCCCTCCCCCTCCCTGCCTAACCTCCAGGGGCATTGTCGGGATTCCAGCAGATAATGGGAACAAATGGGCTAAATCACTGTCTGGGCCAGGTAGCTCGCACCTGTAATACTGGCATTCTGGGACGCCGAGGCGGGTGGACTGCTTGAGCAAGAACAAGACCTGCCTCTACCAAAAATAGAAAAATTAGCTGGGCCTGTAGTCCCAGCAAGTCAGAAGGATTACTGGAACCCAGGAGTTTGAGGTTGCTGTGTGCTATGATGCTAGGGCATTCTAGCTTGGGCAACAGAATGAGAATGTCTCAAGAAAAAAATTTAAAAATTAAAATCAAAGCATTATCTGTATCTAGATGTGCCATATATTCCTGCATGCAGAAGGTCAGGGGATGATGGGAGCACTCAGGCAGCTCTCCTACTTAGCACCTGGCTCCTTGGACTTGATCTTCCACAGTCCCCATAATTGCAGGCCTTGTGCAGAACCCTTTAATGATCTCAAAGCAAGCTCACATGCCTAAGATGGTGGATAATGATAGCTAAGATTATTTTGCTTACTACTTGCCAAATACTGTGTTGGGTGTTTTAAATTCTTTATCTTGGATCATTAAAATAATTCTGGGGGGACGAGGGTTTTTTTTTTTTTTAATTCATCAAACACAGTTTTATTTTCATGTTTTGTTTTTGTATACCATGCCCTTTAATATAAAACTCACACATGTTGGTCTTGGTCTTACACTAAGGAGAATCAGATAACTACCAAGAGTTTACAGAACAGAGAACAAGAATAGCTGAAGCATTAAGTTCGATGGGGGAAAAAAGCGTTCTTAATAACAAGGTGGGAAGCCACCCTTTTCGGAGACACTGGGGCAACACAGGCATTATTACCCCTGTTTTATAATTAGGAAGCTGAGGGCCAGAGTGGTGAAATAATTTGCTCAAAACCACACTGAAGTGAGTAGTGTGAAGCCAGAATTTGAGCCTAAGTCTCACTGGACCCCAAATCCATTGTCTTTATGTTATACTACCTACTTCCCTATAAAACTCCTGCCTGCTCTTGGCCTCATCAGATCACATCCCTTCTACCTACAGCCACGAGGCTGATAAAAGTTTAGAATCATACGTAAAACCAAAAGTCACACTCAGGCTATCACCACCCAGAATTTCTTGAATCTGGGTGTTTAGAAGGTGGGTTAGAGTTGGGATAGAGTCACGGTTAGGTTAGATGGTGGGATGTAGACCAAGAAAGTATTAAAATGGTTAACCTGAAGGATCCTGGGAGAATATATTGATAATTATAACATTCTGGCCAGAGAACGGATAATTGTGTATGTCCATTAATCTAGTACACATTACTTAGTACCTAGTAAATCTGGTGCTGGGGTTACAGTGCTCAGATGTGGTTCCTGTCCCTTACAAACACTTGATAAGCTTGAGTTGATGGAATACTTTTTATTAACTATTTTTAAATTAAAATTTTAAAATACAAAGAGAGAAAGCTGATATGTAATATTTTGTAGAAGTAGACAGGAAATAAAGAGAATCGGAGCCGAGACTGTGTTTACTTAATGAACTCATCCTGGTGTTTGTGATGGCAGAACCACAGAATTTCAGGAAGTGAGGCAGGGAGGGGAGAAAGGTCATCGATGACTGACTCTTCCATAGAGGGTATGAGGCTGGACTCCTTTTATTCCCATTTTCCCTGTACCTAACATAACTGGAAGAGGCAGAGGTTTGGAAATCTCAGGGCACTAGGCCCTGTAATGCACGATCATTTGGATCTGCCCTAGCTAAGTAATCAATGGCGCCATTACATATACTCCTGGGCCCTGAGAACCTTCTGTTGTCAGCTTCAGCTTTCCTCTAGCCAGCCTGGGACCTAGGAAAATGACAAGCAGGTGTCTCTACCAGTTATAAAGGACTGTGGCTACCTAGTCAATAGCTGGAAAAGTGAGAAAACAGGAGAGATATTTTATTTTTTTCAGACAGAGTCTCACTTTGTTGCCCTCGGTAGAGTGCCGTGGCGTCATAGCTCATAGCAACCTCAAACTCTTGGGCTCAAGCAGTTCTCTTGCCTCAGACTTTCATTTTTAGTAGAGACAGGGTCTCACTCTTGCTCAGGCTGGTCTCAAACTCATGAGCTTAAGTGATCCACCCACCTCAGCCTCCCAGAGTGCCAGGATTACAGGTGTCAGCCACTGTGCCTGGCCAGAGATATTTTAAATATAATATAAAAATGCAATCTAATATATTAACAGAAGTTTAGAGTTTACAAAGTTATCTACTCCAATTTGAGTCTCAGAATAACCTCTGAAACAGACTGTATTATACCCATTTTAAAAATGAGAGGGCAGGGCGGCGCCTCTGGCTCAAAGGAGTAGGGTGCTGGGCCCGTATGCCGGAGGTGGCAGGTTCAAACCCAGCTCCCGGCCAAAAACTACCAAAAAAAAAATGAGAGGCCAAAAGGCCAGAAAAGTTAATATAGCTTTATGTACAGGATAAAGAAAGCTTACAGGAGACACATCCCTGAGCACAACAGGGAGGACCTGATCAGGGAATGCTTCCTGGAGGTGACCAAAGAGCTGAGTGGAAGGCACACTTATGCAGTAAAGAAAGAAAGGGTTTGCAAAGGTCTGAAAACACGAGGAAGGCTGGAAACATTAGCAGAAGCAAAGTGATGATGATGACACCTCTGAGGGCAGTTAACCCCTATCCACTGCTTACCATGTGCAGATACAACAGACATCCACATTAATCCACATACCTCCCTTGTAAGACCGGTACTTTTATTATACCCATTTTACAGATGGGGAAACTAACGCACAGAGAAGTTAAGTAGCTTGCCATTGGGGTCATGGAGTAATGATCTCAAGTATTAATTTAAGAAGTACAAATTTTATCCTGGGTTTTAAAGGTTCTTAGCAGAGAGGAGATGGGCACGAATTTGTGATTTATAAAGCCTACTCAGAGGTAGGGTGCACTGGGATTAGAGAAGAAAAAATAAACTGGATGCTAGCCAGGCTGTTTGTTCAAGGAAGACCTGACCAGAGACAGTGGGGATTCAGCACAGAGAAGTATCCCACAATACTGGAGTTTGGGGGTGGGAAATTGTCCCTCACATGTCTCCACTGCCTCTATCTGTAAAGGCAGAATAATATATTTCCATCTAACCTGCCTTGGCAATTGCTTAAAAATTAATGGGACGGAGGTCCGGCTGGCTTTCATCTGCTAACAACCCCCTTGCACTCCTGCTGGTGCTTATTAAATGCTGAATATATAAAACGTGCTTTGACGAGGGCCTGGGAGTAATTATAGCTTGCTAATTATTGTTAATTTCACCACGGCTTTGAAATCCTGGACTTTCTCAATGATTCAAAGAGACTGCAACCCCTCTGTCCCATGAAAGCAGCCACACTGGGCAGACAGGCAATTTCTCACAGGCTCCATTCTCTCATTTTTTGCACTAGCTCAGCTACTTGTGTGGGATACAGAAAAAAAAAAAAGCAATGATCTGCTCTTTCAGAATTAAATTGCACAAAAATCTCCGTACAGTCTTGCTGGCTCCTTAAGAATTTCTTTTTTGTCTCCCTGTGCCAAGTGCACACATAAATACGTATAATGTGAAAGGAGAGAAAATTAGCGCTTAACCAAACTTTCAATACATTGGACGACGCCTGGACACCTGGAATTTACCCGTGATATGGTAAATCTGAGAACGGCGTCCCTAACTTCCCTTCAGATGCTGCAACACTTGGATTCCACAAGCATTTATTTTAAAACAGCCAGACAGGTACCAGAGACCCCAATCCAGGAGACTGATGGCTGGGTGACCTCAGCTCTCTAAGCCTCGTTGGCATCGCCTGTAGAATGGGTCTGACAGTCCATACCTGTCAGGACTGGCACGAGGATGAGATAATGCTTGTGAAGTGTAAACTGGATAAATGTGTCCTACTTAAGACCTGGGGAAAGACTGCGGGGGACGGGGAGGGGAGAGCGCGACTGTCGCGAACCATACTTTGCTTAGACTCCCTGCTCCAGAGCTGCCGGGACGCCCAAGGTCCCGCGCAGAAGGCCGCGCGGAGGGCGGGTCCCTCCCCGGGTAGGGCCGCGCGGGCTGGGGGCGGGTCCCCCGCCGCGGGCAGGTGAGTATCGGTTTTCCTCTCGGCTTTCGGTCGGGAGGAGGTGGGAGCAGCTTCCCCTCCCCTGATCCTATCGCAGGCGGCGCAGGGCTGGCCGGGCCATTCGTGGGACTGGAGAGGGTGGGAGGCGGGATGTGTCACCCAAATACCAGCGGGTAAGTCGGCGGCGGAACCAGCCGGGCAGGTCCTGCCGAGTATAAGAGCGGGAGGGAGCGGCCGGGTGGCAGAGCCCGCAGACTTTCCCGGACGCCGGAGCCCCGCCGCATCCCGCGCCCCGTCCGCCCGCCGCGTCCGGTCAGCGCTACCTTCTCCTTCGCCCCGCCATGGCCCGGGGTCCGGGGCTCGCGGCCCCGCTGCTGCTGCTGGTGCTGGTCGCGGCGACCCGCCACGCGGCCGCGCAGGACAACTGCACGTGTCCCACCAACAAGATGACGGTGTGCAGCCCCGACGGCCCGGGCGGCCGCTGCCGGTGCCGCGCGCTGGGCTCCGGGGTGGAGGTCGACTGCTCCACGCTGACCTCCAAGTGCCTGCTGCTCAAGGCGCGCATGAGCCGCCCCCGGGACGGCCGCGGGCTGGTGAAGCCGAGCGAGCACGCGCTGGTGGACAACGACGGGCTCTACGACCCCGACTGCGACCCCCAGGGGCGCTTCAAGGCGCGCCAGTGCAACCAGACGTCGGTGTGCTGGTGCGTGAACTCGGTGGGCGTGCGCCGCACCGACAAGGGCGACCTGAGCCTGCGCTGCGACGAGCTGGTGCGCACGCACCACATCCTCATCGACCTGCGCCACCGCGCGGCCGCGCGCGCCTTCAACCACTCCGACCTGGACGCCGAGCTGCGCAGGCTCTTCCGCGAGCGCTACCGGCTGCAGCCCCGCTTCGTGGCGGCCGTGCACTACGAGCACCCCACCATCCAGATCGAGCTGCGGCAGAATGCGTCGCAGAAGGGCCCCGGCGACGTGGACATCGCCGACGCCGCCTACTACTTCGAGAGGGACGTCAAGGGCGAGTCGCTGTTCCACGGCCGCCGCGGCCTGGACTTGAGCGTGCGCGGCGAGCCCCTGGAGGTGGAGCGGACGCTCATCTACTACCTGGACGAGAAGCCCCCGCAGTTCTCCATGAAGCGCCTCACCGCCGGCCTCATCGCCGTCATCGTGGTGGTCGTGCTGGCCGTGGTCGCCGGCGTGGTGGTCCTGGTCATCTCCAACCGGAGGAAGTCGGGGAAGTACAAGAAGGTGGAGATTAAGGAACTGGGGGAGTTGAGAAAGGAACCGAGCTTGTAGGTACCGGGCGGGCAGTGAATGGGGTGGGATACCGGATCCTCGCATCTTCCAGACCTGGCCTACAGGGGCCATTTCTCCCATGCGCCTGCCTTCCCCCTGCACCCCCTTTGCGCACACACCAAGTTTAATAGATCCTGGTCTCAGGGTCGCCTCTCTTTCTGACCTCTGTCTTGAAGGAAGCATTTCTAAAATTCCTTCCTTTTCGGTCCAACGAGAAACCTGACGGGGCGCGTTAAGGCAAGGATGGCCCAGCGTTCTGTGTGAAGAAGCAGGTGTCTGTGTGACAGCCGAGCATGCTTTGCAAGTGAGGGAACAGAGTTTGAAGGCCTAGGTGAGTTTAGATGGGAGAAAGCGCTCTTACTGTTACTCGATGAACTCCAGTTACATCACGGCCCTTCTAATGAGGAGTTCGTTACCTGGGCCTCGCTACTGTCCTCATTTACCATCGTTTGCGTTACTGACCCCATACACTTGTCACCAGGAAAGAAGCCTGTTTCAGCTGCCCAACACAGTTTATTTTTTATTTATTTGTTAATTTTTTTTATTGTTTGGGATTCATTGAGGGCACAAAGAATTAGGTCACACTGATGGCATCTGTTACATAAAGTCCCTCTGATCAAAACACGTTTTAGATGGCTTTGTTTAAGGACGCTATCCCAGAAAGTCAATGTCTGTCCTTCAGCTTGTCCTCTCCACAGCCGGTGTTAGCCATGTTTTCTTTTGTAAAATGTTTGTACATATGTTGTCTTTGTGATTTTTTTTAAAAAAACATACGTTTAATAAAATATGGGAAAGGCACAAACCAAAAGATGGAATTTGTGAAAACTCCCTCCAGATCCACATCACTTTGGTCTCCTCTGTCTAATTTCCTATGGTTTGTACTTTTTGTATTTCAAATTCTAACGCTTTTTTTGCAGAAGCGAGCACTTCACCTCGCAACTCTAAGTGTCCTAAGATCTCCTAACTGGCCAGTGTAAATGCTATTTCAGTAAGATTATTCAGAAACCTTTAAACTGCAGCAGGGTGAACTTGAGGAAGGAGGCTGAAACTAGATGTTTTTGTATAAAAGGGTGCCAGCCTCTGGTCATTGCTCAACAAGGCTTTTCACCCGTGGAAAGGGAAACACTCAGATTTGTTTCACTCCAGCTATAGCTCCTTTGAATCCTGTCCCTACTCTGACATAGATGGTATTATGCCATCTGTGTCATAGAGGGCTATTTCGCCCTTGGGCATATTACTTAATCTCAAAGTGTTGTGGCTGTAAGATTAAATGACTTTCCCACATAATGACAGCCAGTCTATGGAGGGGGCTATGATGTGGTCGCCGGCGTGCATAGGTTGGCTTCCTAAGATGGTTATAAATAATGTGCTTTAGAAACCTGTATTTCCTATCAGCTGTAAAAACTAGCCCCTCCTTTCCATTTATCTCTTCTTCTCATTTATTCACATTCATTTTTGTGTGTAGCTGTGGGATAGGCCACAGGTGAGCAAGTTACTGTTGCAACAAATTATTGATGCAACAGTAAGTGGGTACATAGGAGGTTGGTATATGGAGTTTCCAACAACAAATAAGCTAGATCCAGGATGTCAGCTTCTTCCCCTGGAATCTATCCCATGCCCCTCCTCCCTTCCTGGCTGTAGCCTGTGAGGACCCCTCAAGACCAAAACATTGGTAAGAACTGGGAGGAGGTAGCTCTCAGCCCCTGTCCTCTGAGCTTGGCTTTGTGGCTGGTCATGCACCCATGCAGTGAATGTTTAGGAGTGCCTTAAATCTCAAAGTCTGTAACTTCTCCAGCTAGGGAGGGACTCCCTCCAGGCCCTAACCCTTGTTTCAGGTGTGATTCACCAAAGGGAGAGGGTGGATGTGGGCTGGCTCTCCGTGGTGAGAAGGATGGCACAGCATTTGAGGTTAGAATGGGCTCCCTAACAATGAGAGTGAGCGTGGCTGGGCGCTTCCCACTTCTCTGAGTCACTGAAGTGCCTTAGAGGAAGCAGCCTTGGCCATCACCCCTGACCTAACCGCTCAGGTCAGGGATGAAAAGAGCAAGTGATTTCTCAAGGTTACTGTTTGTGTGGCACAGCTGGAACTAGAGAGCTTCATTGTTTCAAGAGGCACTTCTCAAAAACTCACTTGACTGCCTAGAAGATAAATAAATTAAGGATTGAGAGTGGGTAGCTGAACAAAGGAGACTTCCTGAAAAAAATCCCTTCCTCCATGGAAACGTCACTTCTGGACAATGTTAAGTTTCTGCTTCAATTCAGGACCCCAGCTTCTTGCACTTTATAGCGCTTCGAGTTTGCAAGGCACTTTGATACATAGACTCTGAGAGATTGAGTTACTGGAAATAATTGGTGTGGACAAACGTGATTCAAACCCTGCTGTGTTGGACCAGGGAGTCCCTTAACTCCCCTATTTCCTCATCTGTTAAATGAAACTACAAATCCCCCTCTCACTATTGTGAGGATCAAATGAAGTCTCTGATATGTACCTAGGACAATCTAGGTCTTTCGTGGAGAGTTCAGTATATTTTAAATTTGCTCTGCTCTAGGTTGTACCCATGTCTCATGCCAGAATACTGAGGTTTGTAGAGGCTTGAGTTCTCCATGTGTCGAAGCCAGGGCTTAGAGCCTTTGCCTTTAGCTTCTTGGCCCGAGCAGCTAGCAGGTTAAAGCACCTTTTTTCACTCATTTCTTCCAAGGAAGAGTCACCTGGTGCTTCTGTTTTGAAACTCAGTTTGCTAAAGATAGGACTTCACAAGCAGCTATCTTAATGGGTTTAGCATCCATCTCCAGGATCCCACCCTCTGCTTTGTGCTCTCAATTTACAGTTTCTGGTGTGATTCAGGCCCGGGCTGCCCTTGGAAGGAATGTGAGGAGCAGGTGTGGCTCATCCAGCGAGTCGCAACCTGTCTTCTGCGCCTTCCCAGGAGGGAGGCTGGGCCGATTTCCTTGTGTGGGTCACCAGGGCTTTCTCTAGTCTTGTTATTTCCTTATTGGAGCCAATTTTAGGATCAGCCGTTTCCTCCCGTGCTTATGTATTTTTTGCTTCATTGTTTCCCAAGTAGAATCACAGAATGTCAGAACTAAAAGGAGCTTAGAGGATCATTTATCCTGACGTGCCCGTTCTACAGGTGAGAAAACAAGCTTAGAGAGGAGGATGGGTTTGCCCAAGTTACAGAGACACCCCAGAGCTCCAGTACCTGGACTCCATCCTGTCCGATGTTTGTCGCACTTGCCTCCCTGGTTAGTCTCCTAGTTGAGCGTGTGTTTAGTAAATGGTTACTCTTGCTAGAACTACAGCAAATTACCCCCAAGAACTTGGGAGAAAAAATTACTAGTAATGAGTTGAACTCTTCCCAAGGGAATGTGAACAGAATTTCCACTTTTTTAAGGTGATATTTCTGACTCTAGAGCTCTGGTTTAAGGGGACTAGAGCAACCTTCAAGGCTACCTGTTGATATAAAATGAAGGATCATTTGGGAACTAGATAGGTTTCTTTCATAACTAGTATTACGTCCTAGGCTGGGCACAGTGGCTCACACCTATAATCCTAGTACTCTGGGAGCCGAGGAGGGAGGATCACTTGGGCTTAGGAGTTTGATTCCAACCTGAGCAGGAGTGAGATAGATCCCTTCTCTACTAAAAATAGAAAAACTAGGCAGGTGTGGTGGTGGGCACCTGTAGTCTCAGCTACTCAGGAGGCTGGGACAGGAAGCTCATGTGAGCCCAGAGGTTTGAGGTTGCTGTGAGCTATGATGACACCACTGCAATGTAGCCTGGGTGACAAGAGTAAGACCCTGTCTATAAAACCAAACAAAAACTAGCAAGTCTGATGGACATCTCCCAGTTGTAATTCCCCTCCAGAACCATTCCCTGTCATTGCTAAATTGCTAAACCATGAGAGGTTTCAGTGTTGCCTTTTATGGTGAGCTCAAGGAAGGAGCTGTTGGAGGAGGGCAGGGCCCATCTACTGTCTGGGACTTACACTGGGAACAGGGGACCTGTGTTCCCTGGCACCACAGTAAGCCAGGTGCCTTCAGTTTGGGTGAGGATGGTCAGTTCCGTGCCATTCCAGGAGGCTGAAACGGGCTGAGAAGAAGAAGAAAAAGAAAAGGGATCCAGAGTGACAGTCTGAGCACATTAACTGGCAGTGTCACAAATAGGCAGCTCAGCCTATCAAGCTGTCTCATCTCCTCGGAAGGAAAGGGATCTGGAGTGGATCCCATGCAACCTGTTAGGGGCCTGGGGCCCTCAGCACTCTCAGTGCCGTTGTTATCTGGCAGGAGGAATCTGCTCTTGTTATCTGCCATTGTCATCTGGAGGAATCCTGTGCCCGGTATTCTGGTGGGACGCACATCATCACATGCTTTGGAACAACCTGTACAAAAGGTGGGGAAAAACACCAGCCTCGGTCAGCAGATGAGCCTTCAGTGTCCAGCTGTGTCACCTTGACTGCAGCAGTTCAGCTCCATGAAACTCACCTCTGCATCATAACATGGGTCTAATACTGTCCAGCCACTCTAGCTTGCAGAACTCCTGTCTCCTCATATCACCCCAGTGGGGCTGAACGTTTGAGCAGTCAGCATGGCCAGTGGCCCCAGTGGCCAGGAGTGGTTACCCTGAAGCAGTCCCACATTGGACAGCCTGTGTCTTTAAAGATGCTGAATGTCGACCACTCATTTATTCCAATATTTTTTGTCTTATTTCATGCCAGATAGCATACTAATTTGGGGCACATGTGATGAATAGGTAGGCTTTTTCTGCTGTTCATTTTTCCTTACCTGGCATCCCCACAAGCTTCTCAATGGGAGACGTATCCCCATTATGTGAAACTTGGTGGGGGCAGCACGGTCCTGCTCCTGGGCAGGTGGGATGTGGGCGTGTGACATGACTCAGCAAACTGAACCTCTCCTGCCTGGGACACTGGTTTAGAGGACGGGGAAGCCGTAATTCAGGCCAGCTGGGAAATTACAGCAGCAGCGGCTTTGGCAAGAGGACAGCTGCTCCTCAGGTGCCAAGTGTCCAGTGGCAGCAGCAGCACGGAGCATCCCACTGGGGTGCCCTGTGGTTTAAGCTTGGCCATGTCCCCTGCTGCCCAGCCACACCTGGTTCCTTAGTTTTCCATCGACTATGTGAACTTACCCCCACATTTTCCCATAAATTCCTTTTATTCTTGAGTTTCTGTGGCTTACGGCTAAGAATCCTTTTTAGAGTTTTTCTGTCTTTAATGAACTTAAAGGCTAGAACAGGGACATTCATTAGCTACATAATCACAAGTGAGGGCACAATTTAAAAACGAGTGCTCTAAAGAAAGAAAAGCAAATATGGAATGTTCTGACCTGGTTGTGGGAGCCACACCCTCGAGGGATGGTGCTTGATCGGAGATGCCAGGCGTGTGCAGGTGCTACTTACGTATGAAGAAAAGCATTTTGGTAGGAGAACAGCGTGTGCAAAGGTCCGGAAGTGGTGGGAGCGTGGCTCGTCTGAAGACCTGCAAGTACACCAGCAAAGCTGGAGTGTGGACAGCGAGAAGACTGATACCAGTGGGGCTGCAGAGAGGCTGGGGACAGGCTCTGGACGGCCTTCTAAGCCTATTAGATGTTTCTATGCAAATGTCTAATGACAAAGGGTGTGCCCTCTGGACAGACAAGTTAGAAATAAGCCTCTTACTTAGTTGGACTTAGCCCTGCAGTGCAAAATTTGCAAATGGGCTGGTAGGTACCTTTGTGTGAAGAAATAGGGGCCCCTCTCCATGGTGACACGGCCTCACTCCTCCCCTGACAACAGCAGAAGAAAATCTTTGCAAAA